TACGGGATATAATTGGAGCACCATGCACAGGAAGGCAGGGTCTTGGAACCTCCCATTTCCAACTGTGGAGGAAGGCAGGAACTAGTGAAAGAAGAGCCATGATTTAAGAGGAGGTACGGAACCTGGAAGAGGAGGGACGAAGGGCAAGGGCAGTGGACCTAGCTTCCCAAGGAGCCTGGACCAAATGGGAGCTTCCCAAGAGGAAGATTACCTGGGCGGACCTATGGAGACTGGAGCCGTTCCGCATCTCTTTTCTGCTGAGATCAGTGTATGACACACTGCCAACCCCAACAAACTTGCACAAGTGGGGTATGAGAGAGGACCCATTGTGCAAGCTTTGTGGGGAGAGAGGCACAATGGCACACATCCTGTCCGGGTGTAAAAAAGCACTCACCCAGGGAAGGTACAGGTGGCGCCATGACAGAGTGCTCATGACACTCGCCAACACCTCAGAGCAAGAGAGGAAAAAGAAACGGCTACCACTTCGGAAGACAACATCAATCCAGTTTGTAAGGGAGGGGGGAAAGCCACCAACCACAGTAACAACAAGAACCAAATCTGCTACAAAAGGCTCAATCATGGGAAATGAAGGTTGACCTGGGAGGAAGGCTGCAGTTCCCCCAGTTTGTCCAGACAACCCTGAGGCCGGATGTGATACTGTGGTCGGATGAGGGAAAGAAGATCATCCTCATAGAACTTACAGTCCCATGGGGAGAGGGGTGTGAACAGGCCTTTGAAAGGAAGAGTGCCAAATACCAAAACATTCTGCACGACTGCAGGGAGAAAGGCTGGCAGGCTTGGCTGTTCCCGGTCGAGGTCGGCTGTAGAGGATTCCCTGCCCAGTCAGTGTGGAGAATGCTCACAGCACTTGGAATGACAGGGAAAGAGAGGAAGGCAGCAGCTCGTAGGATGGGGGAGGCAGCGGAAAGAGCCTCTTGCTGGTTATGGAGCAGGAGGGAGGAGTTGAGCTGGAAGCCTGGAGGGGAAGATGGGCAGTGATCTGGCCACCACTGCCGACCCACAATCTGGAGGGTGTTGCGGATAAGGGTCGAAACACCCAATGAAGGATTGGTACCGCCTGATGACATCAACCCCTCCAGGCCAAGGCTACATTCACTTAAGGTGGATGAAGGTGAGAAGCATTTCCGGATGTATTTGTAATTTAAAAATTATTATTATTATCATCAATATTGCCATTGTCAATGCTGTAGAATTAGAATGTAGGACTAGAATTAAGCGTCATTGTCATCACTAATGCAATAACTTCCCCCTTATCTTTTCATGGGTTTTTAATGCACCACAACATAGAAAAGGGGGAAAAAAAAAAAAGAATAAGTATATTTGGAAAAACATCGCAAACACCAAGGCAGGCAAGACAGGCGAGAAGTAGTTTCAACGGGACAGCATCTCTGGCCCAATTTGAGACATTCTCGCACTGTACTTCCTCTTTTAATGCACTTTAGACATTGCACATAACACACACACAAAAAAAAAAAAAAAAAAAAAAAAAAAAAACAGAAAAATAGGAAAAGATAGGGACTGATGAGATATGGGGGAAGGTGGTCTTATATTATATTATATTATTATATTATATTATTATATTATCATATTTTGTACAGGATTGACAATGGCAATTGTTACATAGGAGGAAGGATGGAAATAAAAATCTACAAAAACAATATGGGCAGTATGGTGGTAGTGGGGAGTGATGGTAATGATAATGGTAATAAATAATAAATGGTTACTTTGTGTACACACGCATACACATACCCACGCTCACTTACACACTTAGATCAAACACTTAAATCACTCTTGACACTGCTGGAATTATGGATTTACAAGATTGCTCACTACTGCACTATGTTGGTTTGTTTGTATGTATGTCTGACTGTTAAATAAAAAAAAAAAAAAAAAAAGTACAGATAGCTATCTTCTTTTCAAGGGTGGGTGGGTTAACAACACTGTCGTATGGGAGGTAAAAACATAAATAACTGCATAATCAAAGCAAAGGTCCATTTACTTATGTTTGCAGCTATAACGTTACACAAAGTGACATCTGTTCCATTGTGTGATGAAGTCTACATCTGAATATGTACACCCTGTCTGCTGGCGAATGACAGCTTGATAAGTAGTACAAAATAAAATGGCCTTTTCCCACCATAGTTGCCATTGGCTTACTTATTTAATTTAATATTCAACAGTGATATTGATCTGCCTGCATTGACACTATTATACAAGAACTAAATTGAGCTGGGTGATGAAATCACAGTTTACTCCAGAGCGGCTATATATATATATATATATATATGAACTAAATTAATAACTTTAATTTAAAAAAAAAAAAAAAAAAAACCCAGAAATGAAACATCACTGAATTTAAAGGATTTTTGTTCTGGAAACAAACTTTTTTACATTTTTTTCCAGTTATCTCTGTAAAGGTACTTTGAAACAATTTTTATTTGTAAAAAGAACTTTATAAATTAATGTGACTTGACTTATTTATTTGCATACTGTTATAGTATTTTTTTATATTTTGAACCAGCTTTTATTAGTATATTTTAAATTAATTAAAATAATTGATTTCATTTCAGGTGACAATAATGGAATCCCAGAATGCACTGAAAAGAGCTAAGTAGACATCTTACAAGACTAAATATTCAATAATATTATTGATCTGCCTGCATTGACACCATTACTGAACTGAGCTGGAAGATGACATTACTCTTTTCTCCAGAGCAGCTACACAGCTTTTTTACAACAGAAATGAACCATCACTGAACTTACTTAAGCTGAATTATGATGCTATTTTCTTCTAGATCTGCTGTACAGCACAAACAAACTTTGCAAACTTTTGCATTATTTTCCTGAAGCTGCTTTGAAACAATTACTATAGAAATAAAGGAGACTTGACTTGACAAAGTTAAGACTAAGAGACATGTTAAGTAGACATTGCCAACAGTACAGTAAAAAAAACTCTGTGTGTACGTGCTGAACGAAGCTGAATGTGACCGCCACCATAAACTGAAGCACTATGCCGGGTAACCAAATCAACAAAATGCATCTGATCCTATACATATGAAAATAATCACACACACACATACATACACACAAAAGTATTACTACTTCACAAGTCAGCTTGAACTAAGATAAACTGGATGCTCTCGTCAAATGACTGAAAGATACATTAAAATGAATTAGTATTTCATGATGAGATATTATCTAAAACTCAAAAGACAACAAATATGGCTACATGATACAAATACACAACCCAGTTGAGAAGCACTCAAAAAAATCCACTGAACATGAAAATATATCCTTTTCCACAGACAGTGGGACCCTTAAGTGGTCTGTGTCATGCTGTTGACTCATCAAAACAAGAAGCCAAAAGATCAAGACCAAAGTGAGTCAAATCTGACAATGTTCAAAATTATAACACTGAGAAATCTCAAGATCCATAGCCTCTGCCCTCCAACAATCTAACCCTGCAACCAACTGCCAGACAGAAGTGGATAACTGATGGAGAATCATATTTTGGCCGTGGACCAATCCACATCCACATTTACATTTCCGTTCAACAGCTTTAGAACATAAATTTCATACATCAAAGTGACTGCCTTGTGTTTAATTATCCTCTACAGAGTGCATTACAATTTGTGAATGCATCAATAAGAAAAAATGAATGAAAAGACCGGCAACAACAATAAAAGAGATAAGGACAGATAGTGAAAACGAGTGGTATGGAAATACCTGGGTTTCCAAATTAGTATTAAAGGGACAGGTCACCCACAAACTGTCATTAACTCACTGTCATCTTATTTTCTTATTTTCTATTTTCTTTTTGTTTTTATTATTTTCTTTTTTTTTTTATCAACTTTTGATGTATATAAAAACTTGACTTATATAACTGGCAAAATGTTCAGGATGCTCTTTTCTAGTCAACAAATGTGTATACTATAGCAGCTTGATCTGTTGAAGATGAAGAAAACCATAAAAGTACCATAATAGTGGTCCATACGATTTGTGCACAATATTATAAGTCTCCTATTTTTTTTATTTTTTTTTTTGAGAAACAACGCAAATGTAAGATGCTATTTGCTGAAAATCATGTCCCTATTGTAGCTCTTAAAAATCACATTTGTGCTTAATTCAACTTATCACATCATTATTGGCCACAAGACCTCAAACTTGGCACAGCACATATTGAAGCACTATGTCTGAATTAGAGCCCGACCGATAAAGTATTTTGAAGGCCGAAACCGATACAAATATTTGTTGGTTTTAAAATTCGATATTCCGATATATCGGCCGATATTATTTAAAAAAAAAAAATTTATTTCAGAAACACGCAACAAACCATTAACAGATTTCCCCAACATTAGTTATAGAGTTTTAACTAAAATAATATAATAATACATTTTAAAAAGAAACTTGTTTCTTTTATTGTCACAACAGAACAGATGAACATTAAAATATATTAAAGTTCTGATAAATAAAATAATAATTACTCCCCTCATTGGCTTTTAAGCTACCTGGAACCTGGATCAGCAGATTGCAGGATGTGTGGCGCGTTATACACGTGTGTTGCCAACAGGGACAGTGTAGAGTGCCCTCTGGTGGACAAACTACAACTCCAACACTCATGACATGGTTGAAGCATGTTTCGTCCGTTTTTATTTTATTTTTGAAATATTCATTTATCGGCCATTATAACTGCCGATGCCGATATTTTGGAAAATGCCTAATATCGGCCGATAATATCGGCCTGCCGATAAATCGGTCTTGCTCTAGTCTGAATTAGCATTAGCACAAATTATGACAACAATTTCACTAAAGAAGGCTTATAGATGGCAACAACAGGAAATGAGTGTCATCAGAGCAACTTCACTGGGTGTCTTATTTTTCCTCATCAGCCAATGCAAACAAACACAAACACAGTCTCAAAATCTGCAAGGTGAAAGAAATCAAATCAAATCTTGACTGATGTCTCACATTACTGTTACCTGAGTCTCTCCTCTTCCTTCTTACGGAGATCCATGTCCCTCTGCACCACTCTGAGTACATGCTCTGCTTCATCATTGCTCAGACCGGACAGGTCCAGTTTACGTCCCATCACTGCTCCAGAGCCAAGGGTCAATTGATTGATGCGACGCTGGAACCACAAATGGTTGTCCTAAAATACTTTCAAGCTAAAGCCTGGAGGTCACTGAGGAATAAAAGAGAAATTAAAGTCATTCCGTATTCTATAGGTCAAAGTTTTCTATACAGTAGATTAGTGGCATCAAATATTTAAAAGTATTTGTTTTTTTCAGTTACATCTGTGGAATAATCAAGTTTTGTAAGTTTTGGGTGGACAGAAATCCTGATTACAAAGTCTATTTTTGTGATTTCAACTGTTTCCTATAATCTCTTTTATAAAACACCACATACAAAGCAAAATACGGTTCGCTCGTATTGCATCACTAGACGCATTGGAAAAACTCATTTTCCGCAGAACACCAAAGCCTTATTGAATCATCCAGTGAAACAGCACAAGCCAATGGCTTTGCAGCAGAACTGCACAAACCTATGGCGCTACACATCTATATAGCTACTGTATATATCTACCCATCTGTATAAGTGGGCATTTCGCCGTAGGATCTCAGAATAGTTCTCTATCAGCTATAAAGATCTTTTCCTCGAGATCGAGACGCTTTGGCAGAGCACAGCACTGACAGCACATCAGCTAAGTCCAGCACTGAGTGCTCGGTACCTGAAAATGACTCTTCTACCCTGTGACACTCATAAAGCAATACTTGACCAAGCTTTTAACTCCATATATACTTCAAAACATGATCTTCGTTCTTCGCATACTGGTCTTTTGACTGTTCCCTCAACCCGTTTGAGATTAATGGGAGATGGGGCTTTTTCTTCATTAGCTCCAAAACTTTGGAACTCTCTACCAATTGAGATCAGGCAAGCCAAATCTTTTTTAAATCTTTAAATCTCAGCTTGAAACTCATTTTTTAGGTTAGCTTTTAATTGATTTATTGTCTTTTATGTTTATTTTATTATTTATTTTATTATGTCTTTTTGTGTGTTGAATCTTTGCAATTTTAATAGTTTTTTTTTTTTTTTTTTTTTTGTATCCACAAGTTTCCTACGCCCCATGAGGCCTTGCGTCAAAAGTGGGCGCGACTTCCGGTTGGAAGTAAACAAAGCGCGACTTGACATGCTTGACACTCATTCATTCAACAGTTGACAGTCATTCAAGTTATAGCGATCCAAACTAGCTAACGATGTGGGAACACAACCTCAACGAAATTCAAAAGGGTGAAATAACAGTACCTTTACCCTCCGCAGTAGTTGATTGGGAGTATTATAATAACATTATTATTAATCAATACTCATCAAGGCATGGTGACAGACAGTTGTGTGAGCTGACAAACAATTAAAATAAAAAATACCCACATAGTCATTGTGCTTTGGAGTTTATTCAAAATTATAAATGAATGTGCTACTTGAATACATTAACTGGCACATTTGGTATTCTGTCAACACTTGATCCTGAGTTTAGGTGTAACATCAGTAGCGAACAGCCAATCACATGCTGATAGAGTTTATAGAATATTAAGAATTTAAACAAATGTACACAGGAAGATTCGCCGTCTTTTGGGAGGTGATGGAAACTACAGTCGTTGGCAGGATCACTCTGATTTCGTTTTCAGCTTATGTTCAAAACATAGACGTGTTCAAAACAATCACGTTTAAGCCACTGAATTAGTTTAGTCCGGTTATACATACAACCGCAAACAGCACATGTTGTCCATGAGCTTCGTAACGACATCTCTAGATTTGCGTCTTTAAATAGTAAAATAATTCTCAGAAAAACAGCTAGCCTCTTGGCTAACTAACACACAAAACACCATTGGAATGCTACTTCCGCCGCCTCACCGGAAGTTTCACCCACTTTATTTTTTACAGGAGCGCCCCTCGGAAACTTGTGGATAGCGCTTTGAGATGTACATTTAAAGGCGCTATAGAAATTAAAGGTTATTATTATTATTATTATTATTATTATATCTCTATCTAAAGAGCCCTCCTGGGAACAATTCTCGATTTGGCCCAAATACGGGCCAAGCTCATGTCGGAGATTAACGCTGCACAACACCAGAACAACGAACAACGCTCTGACAATTTCCGCGGCTTGCCGCATCTTTCAGGGTCAAGGCAACTCAACCCGTGCTCGCTGAGAGCAGTACACTTGCTGGGCAGACTGAACCAAGGGGCAGACGTGCTGTCCCTGGGCAATGTGTCGTCAGAAGAATAGACACTTCATCTCCAGACGGTTCACATGATCTGGAGTATCTTCGGGAGGGCAAAGGTCAACCTCTATGCCTCAAGAAGACCAGTCTCACTGCCCAATATTTTTCTCTAAAGACAAATATGCGCTGGCCCACCAATGGCCCAGCCTTCCTCTATATGACATTCCCCCAGTTGCGCTGCTTCCTCGGGTCATCAGATGGATCAAGGAGGACAGTGGCCCCCCTGCGCAGTCCTTCTGGTGGCCCCTCTCTGGCGCAACCGGTCATGGCTCCCTGTGGCCAATTCCCCCATGCTCCTGTGGCCAGTCTACAGACAGGAACAACTTAGTTGTTGGTTTTCTGAAGGGGGCCAGAGGGTTGAACCCACCTCGTTCCCTCAGGGACCCTCCCTTTGAGCTGCTCCAGTCAGCCAACCTGTGGTCCCTTTCGCTAAAGACCACCCTCCTCCTGCTAGTCATAGCATCGGTCAAGCGAGTCGGTGACTTGCAAGCCCTCTCTGTGAGCGTGTCTTGCCTTGAGTTTGAGCCTAATGACTGTAAAGTCATCCTTAAACCAAGACACGGCTATGTACCTAAGGTGTTCTTTACTCCGTTCAGAGCACTCTCTCTGCTCTTCCAATTTCAGAGAGTGATCAGGAGTTGCACTCCTGTTCAAGCCACATGAGTAGCCCAGTTAAGGCAGTCAGAGCAGCTCTTCGTGTGCAGCATGAAATGGCATCCGGTCAAAAAGCAAAGATTATCCCACTGGATACAGTGGATATGATTGCAATTGATTAATTATGTTCATCATAAATATAAGCAAAGGTTATCATCATATTTTATTTTTAACCAAAATAGCATAATTTATTGTTTTAAAAAATGCATTTTGTTTAATATTGCTTGAGTAAAATGTAGACTGTGTCATAATGAAACACCCCTCTCCTGAAAATGGTCTGAGTATTTTTTGATATGCATAAAGCAAAGTCAAAACGCCAGGGTTTCGCACTAGTTCGCAGTAAGCGCGAGTGAGTGACACACGATGGAGTGCGCGTATTGACGCAGTAAGACCATAGACAGTAAAAGAAAAAGTAAGACCTAGTGCTCACCACCTTCCCAGTGTGATTAAAGCAATCGATTGCCTAAAATCATCCAGTAAATTATCTAAATAGGCCTTATCAGATGCATGTGGACTGAGAGAATATTTAATGTCATTTACAGCAATTGTCATGTGCACTGTCCGGCTAAAACTACTTCAACATTTCGAGCATAGGATGGAATTTGGTTTTGCAGAGTAGCAGCCTCAGATGTTGGACAGGTCGTGGGAATGGGGTTGTTTCATCATTTTTTTTTTTTTTTTTGGTAACACTTTACGGTAAGGGTACATGCATTATCATGAATTCATGTATAAATGAATGCATGAATTATGCATTCATTCATGCATTATTTCTCATGAATCATCAGGTACTAACACAAGTTCAACGTTTTTCATTCATGACTTCATGAACAACACCTTAATTGAAATATTAACTAAGATATGCACATCACCATGAATTATGATTTATTACGCATGATCATGATGTTTTCTTTGTTCTTTGTCTAGGTCAGTGACCTAGTCACCACTTTATTTAAGGGGCCACACACATGATGAAGTCATTAATAGATTAATGCTTAGTTAATGATGACTATTGGACAGACACCATAATAGACCAATCGCAGCTCATAGCACACACATTCTGTAAAACAAATACAGAAGTCATCATTACCTAAGCATTATCTATCAATGACTTCATCATGTGTGTGGCCCCTTAACTAAAGTGGTGACTAGGTCCTTTGAAACACTGATGAACAATGTGCTATTGAAAGGTGGCATAACTGTGAACAAAGAAAACATCATGATCATGCGTAATAAATCATAATTCATGATGATGTGCTCATCTTAGTTAATGTTTTAATTAAGGTGTTGTTCATTCATGAAGTCATGAATGAAAAACGTTGAACTTGTGTTTGTTCCTGATGATTCATGAGATATTAATGCATGAATGAATGCATAATTCATGCATTAACTTATACATGAATTCATGATAATTCATGTACCCTTACCGTAAAGTGTTACCTTTTTTTTTCTTCTTTTTTTTTGGAACCTGGTAATGAATACCAGGTTCATTTTTAGACATACCTGGAAACAAATCCTGGTCATATGGGCCATTGTGTAGAATTGGTTCAAAGTCAGAGTTGGAAACATCTTGAAAATAAAATTATTTTTGCACATAAAATATTATTTTTAATGTAGGCCAATACATTTTATCATACATATTTCAAAGTAAAGGATTCATTATTTTGGTGATATGTGCATTGCATTAGCTTGCAATTGGATAACAGTTGTTTAGTTTATTTTTGACAAAACATACTATGTATTTAATATATGAGCAGAAACTGTCTAACTAAAGCTTATTTGATGTCTATTTTATAGTAAAAACTTTATACTCTATTTTGTCTTTAACAGTAGGCTATGCATCTGTGCGTCCATTCGTTCACACACACCCAGACACCCGATTCATATTTAAACCATCAAAGTTAAATGATTGTTTATTCCTAATGAATTTTCAATATTTTCTTTAGCAAGGGGTTTCAAACTTTTTTAATAGCAATGAGCCCTAAACAACACCCTATGAGATTCTTTATTTTGGCTTATAATATAATAAAATATAGGCCTAATATAACCTAAACAAAATCTGTATGAGATTCTTTATTTAGGGATATAATATAATACAATATAGGCCTAATATATAATATAATATAATATAATATAATATAATATAATATAATATAATATAATATAATATAATATAATAAAGAATTGAAGTATTTGAAGTGATATGTCAGTTTAAATGATTCAATTTGTTTACATATTATAATATGGAAAC